CCCCTGGTTTCTCCAACCAGAATCAGACCTCTCCTTCTCCAAAGACTGATCAGGACTGGAAGTGATAACGCAGTGCTGTTTGCATTTTCTGTGACGTCTTTTGGACTTTTAAAGATACAAGTTTTGACTTTTATCCAGAGGTTTTTAATGTTTGACCGCATCACTTTGAGCCTGCTTTTATACACGTGTTGAGGTTCATTTATATTGTCAGTAGTCTTTAAAAAAAGAAAAAGATGACCACTGTGACTTTTTTCCTGAGCTCACATGCACTAGAAAACAGCAGTCTTGTTAATGGGGGAAATGATCAGTACCCTTTCACACTATAGTATTTCTTGAGGCAGCTTAATTGTTATTCTTAATAACCTGTTTGTCCTCCACCAGTATTTGGAAAGGGAGTATGTAGCAGCTGCAAGAGATTCCTTGTTGCATGACTTTTTGACAATCAACGTTGACCAAAGAATAAAAGCCATTCCATATTCAGTTCATATGCTTCTTATTTCCATTTATGGAATTGAATTATTTCATATAAACTTCAGGTTTCATAATATTCCACTGGTCCTTCCTCTCCAAATTTAAACAGGAGAATTGAATCATGACGCATTCTATTTATTGTTAAGATGCATGCCATAAAGTTGTAACCATTCATAAAACTTGCTCATCTACTTTTAGCATGCACCATGTAGAAATGATTGTGGCCATTGTGTGTTGTTAAGCTATGGCATTAAAACAGGGCTGATTTTTATTACATAAGTGCAATCAGATAACCAGAGTCTCTGCAGTACCTCATAAAACCTATACTTTGTGCAGCCTAATCCACTCTATGTACATATTTTTAGCTTGCATGCATGTGTATTTATCATTTTCACAGTATCAGTTGGAAATACTTCACATAGTAACTATTTTATGTCTTTTTTAGAGTGTGTGCATTAGACCCCTAAGCAATGGTTCAGACACAAAGACTGCACATGAGGAAACCAGCAGTAGTTTGGAATTTACAGACCTACCCATCAAGAGCGAGCCCGAGAGTGTCGAAGTCCACAGCGCTACTGTTGAGAAAGAGTTACGTGATCAGGAAGAGGTTGTAGTGTTTGAGGCGAACTTTGTGCCAATCGTAGAGGTGGAAATGGCACAGCTGCCTCCTTCCTTTGATCCCTCCTGTAATGCTTTAGAAGTGATCCCGGAAGAAGAAGGATCGTGTCCCGGAGTGTCGGCTGACTCTGGGAGGATAGCTGGATCTTCCCCAGCTTCCTATTTCTGGAGCGATGGTCCACAGGTCATGCGCTGTTTCCAGGTAGCCTCCTGACTCCCTCGGGGTGATGCTGATTATTTCCCTTCTTGGCTGACACACTCCTTTGCAGCACCGATACAAATAAAAAAACTTGTGACTCTCCTAAGGTGGTATTCGGTTTGGTGTGAAAGTGCTTGTTATTGTCAGATGGAACTCAAGACGCTGCAGAGGTGCTGCACAGTGGTGTGCTAAGTTTTTAACGACGGTGACGGGTCACTGTAAAAATCTCTGCTACAAAACCATTACTTTTGATCATCTTTCTAACGCACCTGTGCCGTTTATTCACCGTTTCTCTTGGAGTGGTTGGTGGTGGGAAGTGACGTTAACACGTTGATTCTTCTGTTTCGAATACAATAAACTAATCTGGTGAGAGGAAATAGCGGTTGTGGTGAAAGTCTAATTAAAGAAAAAAAAGGCAATAGCTAATGCATGGTGTGAAATAAAGTGTTTGCTGTGGTGCAAAGTGTCTGGTTAAACAGCCACTCATGGGGCTGTGCTCCATTTCACAGCCCCCTCTGGTGCAGACGCAGACTGTCACCATCACAGCCGTCTCCAGCCCCTTACCCAGTGGCATCTCCACCACAGAGGTCCCTATCATCCCGACTAGGACCTTCACCTATGAGTCTTCAAAGGTAGGGGCTCCAGCAGCTGCTCAGCCCAGATCTGTCTCAGCTATAGGCAGTCAGGTTTGCATGGTGGAGGTGGCTTCAAAAACTCCCAATAAGGAGTTCTGGGAGGATCAGTAGAAGGGCTCCAAAATAAGAATGAAGCAGCCTCGTGCCTTCCTCGGTGAAACCTTGATGTCACATGATTTAGAAATGATTATTCAGTACATCCCCCTTTTTTCTTCTTTCCTTCAGGTGACCGTTGATGGGACAGAGGAGGACAAAGATTGCTCAACAGTATCCAGTTCCCAGACCATTACCTCAGAGACCACCAGTGGCACCTCAGTGACGACTACCACCACTCACATCTCAAAGGTCAGCAGAGCAAATTAGGCTCTCGCCTTTCCCGTTCTATTACTCTTTATATGCCTAATATAGATTTTCCTTCCTGTACAGGTAGTAAAAAGTGGATCTTCAGAAACTCGCGTGGAGAAGAGAATTGTCATAACCGCAGACTCTGATATCGACCAAGATAAGGTACAAAATCTACACACAGGTTTAGGCGTAAGGCGGTATTTGCTCTCTTGGCTGAGTTTTATATGGAAGCTTGTTTGTGCAGTAAAAGGAAAGAAAGCCTTAACTCAAAATTTCAACAACTGGAAGGAAATTCCAAGATAGTTAGCAAAGACGTTACACAGAGTGCGGTGCAAAATAACAGCATTTCATTCCAAATTTTTCAGATGCAAACTTGTCGTGTAATCGTCTCTGAGGTAAAACAATATTATTTAATCACTGCATATTCAGTACGGGTGCGCATTTTGAGCTACGAGTGCACTTGCTGCCAAATGCAGTGCTGTGATTAGTCAGATCTGTATTTTTTACATGTGAAAAATCAAAAAAATTGAGGTTGAACTGGAAAAATAAATGCCACAACCTCATCCCGCAAAATCATGTGAGCGGTTGAGGTGAACAGCTGCATTAATAGTAGGCGAGTCCAAAAAATATTTTTAATGCACAGAATATTCTAATCTTATCCAATTTTTTTTCAGCACCGAAAACAAGCTTCCTTAGTTTTAGATACTACTCTTTAATCTGAAATATGAAGTTATAGTGTTTTGCTTAAATTTGTACTTGCATCAACTCTTTAGCGCTTAATGACGAGGACAGTTTTGTCTTAGCAACTTGAGATCATATAAACAAAACATGTCTGTGTTGCAGGAGAAGCACGGCGGAGCATCAGCATTGTAACTGAACCACACCTTGTTCCTTTGACCAATCACCTCCGATATCCCCAGCACTCAACACACAGTGACCAGCTGTACTTGCGCACACATATCTTAAAAAACAGGAAAAAAACCCCACTCATAACTCTGCAGCTAAAATGATTGATAACAGCGTATATTAATTCCTAATAGTCTGTTTGTTTTCAGTTTTTGTATTTTTTTCAGGCTGTTCATTGTAGGCAGAGCTGCACAGTCCTCAGATTATCCTAGTGTTGTAAAAGTTTAGCGAGTACACGTTTATTGGTTAAATCCCAGCATTTGCAGTTGTGTGATCTCAAGTTACGTTTGCTTTTAAATACTTTTTTTTCCTAGTGGTTTTTACATTGTTGATTTTATACAAATTTACTGTTTCCATTATAGTTTAGATGCCATTATCAGCATTTCTTCCCACGGTGCTGCTAGGGGAACGTTAAGACCACATTCAAGGGAACTCTCTTTTTTTTTTTTCTTGTTGTTTACTTGTCTATTTAATTCAGGAGAGACTTTTTATTTTAATGAAATGACATACCTCACATCTCTATGTGGACAAAGATATTTTCTGCTCAAATTTGGACAGTTTGTTCATGTCTCAGGTACAAAAATAAAGAAAGAAATAAAAAAAAAACCAAGTTAATATTTTCTTCCCCAACCAGCTTAAGAACCAGTAGCCTACATATTCTTGTAAAGTTTGAATTTTTAAAAAATTGATCTATTTTGAAATATTTCTCTATTTTATAGAAGTAATGCTTTTTATAGTATTTGTACAAATGTGAGGTTTTTAAGTTATTCATATCTGCTCATGAAAATGTAGGTTACCATTTGTGGTGTTTTACTGAATTTTGAGGTCTCTATTTAAGACTCGTCTTGCCTGAATCACCCTGAATCATTCTTATTCGTTTCCTCTCGTAGTCCACCAAGTACATCCGACTTTACAGAACTCACAGATAACAGTGGAGATTTACTCAGCTCTGTTTTTGTTCATTTTAATAGAAGTCCTACCTGCTTTGAACATATTTGGTTGATATGAAAAGTTTTTACAGGTTTTTGGTCTGTTTATCTCAGGTTTTGATATTCTTTGTAAGACTACAGACCTCCGTATGATTGTATGAGGAATGTCCATGTATTTATTATCCACCTCTATTGTAAATGTACATGTATGTTCAGTCAAGTGAGGTCAATAAATATAAAAGCTTGTCTGTCACAATAGCCACACATGTAAGCCATGAAGGCAGCTGCCCGATAAATGTGGCTTTTCCTCTCACGGGAGCACACGTTGTCTTTTTTTTTTTTTTTTTTCTACGTGTTCTACTATACAGTAATTTATTTGTTAAGTAGGAACTGTTTCATGTGATTTGATGTATTGTGATGTTTCACCACAAGCTGGTTTCCAGGCTTCCACCATGTTAAATACTACATTCATAATCAACCAAGTTTGTAAAGCCTTTTTAACCACGTAGTCTGAGTAGGTTGCTCTCACTTGCTGTTTTTCCTGTACTTTTTCATAGAGAAGAAAACATACGAATCTTTTCTAGATAGCATGTTTGGTAGCATTTTTTTTTTTAAACAAAAAAAAAAAAAAGCCATTGCTATTATAGCTAAAACTCAATCACATCTGCATTTTTCCTCCCTCGATAAAAAAGTAGTTTCACATTAAGAAAAAAATAATAGTTTTTAGAAAATTGAAAATATTGTTGCTTTGTGACTTATCCCTGTCTTTTTATGGAAAATAAAATAAAATAAGCATTATTTTGCATGTTGTTGGGCTGTCTGTGAATGAAGCACGTCATATTAAAAATGAGCTCTTGGTAAGTAATAAATATTTAATGCCAGTCTTTTTTTTTTTTAAATTTAATGCCAGTCACTTGTTTTGCAGTGGATGTTGCACGTTCAATACCAAACTCTTAAAAAAAAAAAGAGAGTCACATCTGTCTAGATCAGGGATGTCAAACTCATTTTACACAGTCAGTCCGCTTTGATCTTAAGTGAGCCGAATCAATGAAACTGATGGATGTTTAAAATTACAGTAGTTCTGGAAGTTCATTGCCCAGACTATTCTGTAATTATACAATATAAAGTTTTCATAACTTCAGACACCTAAAAAAAAAAAAATCATAGTAGGTAGTGGAAAAAACAAACTTTTATGTAATTATTAATTATTGTGATGAATTATGAATGGGAGATCTTTATCAATAAGAAATGCTGTCAAAACTATGAAAATACAGTTAAAAGTTCAAACTTTCTGAACTTTTTTTCCCAGTGGACTGGATTGGAGTCTTTGCCGGCCACTTCTGGCCCCAGAGCCTTATGTTCTGACACCCCTGGTCTAGATCGTTATCCCATTATTTAAACATATACAAACAGAGCCCTCAGGAAATGATTGTTAGAGCTGTCTAAACAAGCAAATACACAGCCACTATATCTCATGAAACTGAAGAGTAACATTTAAAACAAGCATAGGTCCTTTTGGCTTTTCTTTATCTCTCTAATTTGGTATTCACTGGTTGTTGGTAAGAGCACCTGAATCTATTTGCACATATTACAAGAACAACATCTAAGCACATTCCTACATGTGTTCTGGATTTAATAGTTACATTTTCATGAGGCTTAATCACTGATAAGGCAAACCTCTTGGGGCTGGTGGTGAGACATTCTGTTACATTCAACTAAGCCGCAAAGCAAACTGCAGTAAAAGTCACTTTTCAATCTAAAAGAGAAACCCCTTTATTTTGAAAAGATGGACTGACATCAGTTAAGGTTCAACCACATGTCTGAAGCTCAATTAATTAGTATAATTAAAAACTGCTCAACTGTAACTGCCTCCTAAAAGAGGGGAAATGGCTGAATCTGAAAGTGCTTATCAACACAGAGGTGAGTTTGGAGAACTGTACAGGTATTTATTGGTTATACACAATCAATTGCTTCACGCAAGTTGTAAACAACAAAGTCTCTGAGTCCACTGTCTTTGTCAAAGATGGCTTCTAGCGAATCACCTTTACTGGGCTCTTGAAACTTGATGCTGCCTGAAGCTGGAGTTGATAAGCCATCGGGTGGATTTTGAAACCATACAGCCTAAAAAAAAAGAACAAAAATAAATAAATAAATTCCTCGCTTTTCAGAGGTCAGTGGTTTGGTGTCGTTTGAAAACTGAGTGTAACATTGATGCAAAAGAACAAACCTTGGCACAAACTGATTGGCGGGTCGCTTTGGGCGGTACTCTGGGTGCACCATGAACAGCATGTGAGGGAACCCCGTGCCAAAGTAGGCTCCATCCGTGTGGTGGTGCCTAGAGGATTTAGGGGTGTACACATCCATGCACTTTGGGCAATAAAGCTTCACCATCGCTTCTCCCGGTATATCCGATAAACCTACGTTACGCAGGAGAGAGAGAAAAGAAGGGATAGTCACAAATATCACAGTGTGTTGTTTAGTTCAAGTGATCCCCCCCAATGAGAAGATCAAAAACAATCAGACCTACCAATCGGAAGCATTGGCTGATTCTCACAATACACTCTGGGGCAATAGCCAAAATCCCCCTGCTGATACTTTTCCAACTACAAAAAAGAACAAACTTAAATCACTCGTGATGATCATGTTGTGGTGCCTGTAAGAGGTTGTTGCAAAAACTATAAAATAAGAGCCCACCATTTGTGCAATGCCTCTGTTTGTGAGGATGTAACGTGCATGTATAAGTCCGTACAGCATCTCTGCTGCCTGCTCTATCAGGTCGCTCTGGTTTGGATTATCTTCAAGCTCCTCATCTGTTTAAATAGAAACAATTTAGCCTGTTTAACTATTTTACTATCTCATTTTATGAGAGAAGTGGTTTGCACCACTTTAAAATCTCACCTGGCTCCAGGTCAAGAATCATATCCAGAGCCTGGCGGTAATGAGGCACCTGCTCATTCAACCCCGTCAGGTTAAACTTGTCCTGTATGTAGTCTTCATCAACCTAAAACACAGCAGCAGAAGGAAACCAAAGGCTATTAATAGCACAAGTTACTGTTGCAGCAGTGCACTGCACAGCACACTGATATAGAACCATTATACAAAAGTTTAACAAGATTACTGCGATGCAGCCAGCTATTTCTTGGCATTTTTCATTTAAGCATTTTTACTTGATGTCCTTTTTGTACTCTTAGAAAGAAAACCCTCCGTGCTCTTCACAAACAGGCGAGGAGAGCAGTTGCAACAGTCAGGTCTTAACTATATGTAGCTGAACTGAAAACTACGTGTGTGTAAAATGTCCAAGGTGGCATCTTCCAGCCCCAAAGATACCAAATAATAAAATAAATAATGCAGACCAGAAAGTAAATGACGCAGCAGATTATCCTGGTTACAGGTTACTGGCCATAGTGTGACCTTGACCCCAGGTTGATATCCAGTAGGTGACGACCTACTCCATCATTTAAAGATTTCCCTGCAAGTTATTGAGACACTGCAATATAAATAACAGTACAGGGATATTTGACCAAGAGAGAAATTCAGACACTCAAACACAAAAAAAAAAAAGGGAAATGTGTTTTATTTGGTGGTTTCAGTTCTGAAATTACAACAGAACAGAAACTACTGGATGGAAAAAAGTAGCTGAGGTGATTAACTGATTTCTAACCAAAGGAACTTCCAAGAGTCCTTCTAATGTAAAGCTGCAGCTACTTCTAGCATCTACAAATTCATTTGAATTCAGTGTGTTGTTTGCCTAATAGATAACAGTTCAGATTTAAAACTTCAAACACATTTTTGATGCATTTGAATTTTTCTTGTTTTTATGGAAGGTGGTCTAATAAATTCATTAAGCACATACACCTGGTAAGAAGGTAAAATATCATCTTTACATAGCCTGGTTAGTTTGATTTAAGCACATTCTGTACATTTCAGTACTCGCATGTGTTATTCCACATAATATATCAAACAAAATCATGAGTGTGGTGGTCATTTTTGTCTTCTTTATAGCTGATGGCTTTAGTCCACCATACACGTCACACTTTACTGGTTTGGCAAAAGGTCCCAGTACGCTCTCAAACTGTTTTTTATTTTTTATGTTGTTAGCTGAGATTATAAATTTAGCAAAGTAATTTTTGATTGAGAGTAGCTTCACTACGATTTCCAAATGGTTTTGCAACATGCAGCATATCCTTAAGTACTGGCTGTTTTGATGTGTCACCACTATACTAGGCATTTATCTTTCAGTCTAAGCATGCATGGTGCAGGGTCTCAGAATCCTGCTGAACTCCGAAATGGTTCACAGATTACATCTGCATGATTTATAGAAATCTTTCAATCATAAAGTTCAAGTGTCTCCATGATCTTAATCAATAAATTATTCTTTAGGTGATGTTGTAACTATTAACATAAGTGTGCAAACAGAGAAAGTGATCATAAGAAACCAGCACACCACATCAGGTTTGATTTATTCAAAGAAAGTCTGTACGTATGGTCTGATGTGCAAATACATTTGATATATTTTGGTGCTGTGATGAATATGGACCAAAAATCAAGAAGTCAAGGTTCGATTTAATTTAATCATGCGAACCACTAAGGAATTGTGTATTTATGCAGAGTGCTTGTGCTGCCACAGTGTAGAGCAGCCTGATGGTGTGGGGACATAATTTACGCTTCTGTATACTCCGCCAGCAGGCGATGCGAATGATGAAGTCTGTGAAAAGCTTATGACGGTGCAACTAAAGCTTTGAAAAATAAAGAGTGAAAATGAAAATGAGACTGACCTCGCAGAAGAACTCGTTCCCTCTGAGTCCACAGAACCACGATATCCAGGACACCTCCTCTGAGCTGCTCATCCTCCTGACAAACCAACATAGCCGCAGTGAACCAATTTACACCCAGAAAGGTTAAAAACAAAGGCAGTAAAACATTAACAGGGTTAGTGAGCCGAGCTTTATAAGTGAACATAGCACAACATTATTTTCAGCACAGATAAGGACTGCAGCTGACACCTGGGGTTTTACTAAAAATGTTAAACATAATCTTTAATTGAGCTTAGACCTGCCTCTCAAACCTGGGAAATACGTCAGCTCTTGATTTAGCATGCTGGCTAGCGTTCATGCTAACACGTTCAGTACAAATGTATTACTGTAACGGCACATTAACATAAATACCGCCTATGTGTTTGTATAACTGTATACAAACATTCGCTTTCACTCACCCTTCTTTTATATTAAATAACACATCAATTTGGAAGCTTTGCTAAGCTGTCCTCCCTCCCAGGGTGACAAAATATAATTTCCGGTCATGCGTTCTTTTCAAAATAAGGTAGCCGACTACACATCCGGCTAGTGATGGCCAAATGAAGCTTTCTGAAAACGGTTCGTTACTCGAAGCTTTTCAACACAGTCCTTTTTGGTGACATCTTGTGGCCAAAAATATGAAGAGCAGCTTGAATCCACAAAATAAAACCAACTGCTTCATAATGATTGTCCACTCTACAGAGTGGAATTCTGTCTGATATTGGGCTGCTGTTGTGTTGCTTTGAACGTGTATTTTTTTGTGTTAAAAAATGTGGTTTATTTGTTTAATAAATAATTTTGACCAGTAAACTTTCATTGTTTAAACATGCACCATGGTGTGGTCTTTCTTTGCTTGTGACTTCTTGATGTTGGTAAATACAATAATTGAAAAATACCACGTTACATATAACATATATATAATAATGCACATTATGGAGTATGCTTCTGTTGTGACGTCCTGCCTCCATGTACTTATGCAATTAATCGCTAGACGGGTATATTTATAAACAATATTATATTAGGGAAATTTTCCTATACATATTTTTGACCTGGGGGTAGAATTGATTGTGAGATGGAAAGGGAAAATGCTTATGAGGTTGCAAATTAAAAACATGATGCATTTAAGGTAACACTTTTCATTTTTATTTAAGAAGAGAATTTGTTCCGCTGTGCGATGGCCGAACCTGTTCCTTTTCGTGGAGATAATTTCTCCTGCCTTAAGGAAAATCCCTTCACATGGCACAGAAGATGCTGGATTGCAGAAAAACTGGTAGAGATGCAGTTATACAGTCTAACTGGGCCTCACAAACTATCAGCTAAAGAGAATAAATAAATTAAATTGCTGCACATTTTGTAGACTAACATTTTTAAGATTATTTTTTAAAATAAAATATATCTTTTTATAACATTAAATGTTACGAGTCAAATGAAAGTTTTTCTAAAGTTATTTAATGATATTTATATTATGAAAAGCAGATTTTTGACATTTTAAGTTTTTCCCGTTTCCAGATAAAATAAACATGCACAAAACAAAAGCAAACAGCCAGAACACAAAGCTGGAAAAACCCACCCGATTGACCAAAATCAACTCAAAATACTCCCACACAACAGAACCTCCTCTATTCCTCGTTGGCTCCAAATCTGATCAGTGGTTCCCTATCTGTCACCATCAAAACACTCCACAAATCCCACGAATGATTCACCTGCTTATAAACCATTGAATCAGATACCGAAGCAGTTAGCTTCTAAATGAAGCTTCGGACGTCACTGATCACGTGACTCTGGCCAAACGAATCAAGCTTCGACACAGTGCTTCTGAAGCAGTGTGTTGATTTTTTTGACACACGCCATCACTACATACGGCATATATTAGGCGAAAGCGAAGGAGAGATAAGCCTACTACCGGTACAATTATCTTTTTGTTGTTTGTTTGTTTGCCATGTTCTCTAAGATCAACATCTGACGTTGCTATATTAGAAGAAAAGTGGCCACACTGTTGTATATTGTGAAACACCCAATTTTTTAAACTACTATAGTAAATAAATACAATCAAATCCAACAATAATGGAAGTAATACGTCAGATCCAAATGAGACATGGTTCACCTTAGTTCAAGTAGGCTAATGTTATGATAATGTCAGTCATGCATCCCAAATTGAATGTGATAGTTAAGAGGTGTGCCTCTATCTCCTCTGTCTGTAAAATACCTTGATGCATGGAGGAGATGCAATGGAAACATACCTTTGATTTTGTTTTTTTTAAATTAATATGAAAGAATATAAAATAAAAGCGAGCGAAAGCAGCTGTTTGTAGTTATATCTCATGTGTTTAATATTTTTACTTTTAGGCTCTTTTAGCTATAAGGGTTAAAAACAGAAAAGCAAAATGCAATGCAGTTTAATCTTTTCACTTTAACAAACACAACATGAGATCCGTGACTGTTTAACCACGTAATTTTTAATGAACTTGTAAAAATGTTGACCTTCTAACATGAACCACACTGATCACATATTTTGCCACTGCCATGTACATTTCACATTATCAGAGTACTTGAACAAACACCTAGAACAGTACAGTTCTAGTACATGCAGGCTAGTTTACATCTCTTCGTGAAAATTGCACATTTTACTTCATGTTTCATTTTTTTCACAACTTTACCTTTGATTGATTTTAAAATCTAGGCGGGGGGAAGGGGGGGGAGGTTTATTGACAGAATTCAGCTCGGATGGAAGGTCAGGGCAGGTCTGAAAAGGTTTTACGACGAGGTGGTCCAACTTCTTTCTGCTCTTCTTCCTTTGCCATGCCTTCAAACATCAAGATCCTTGAATAAAAACAAGACATTTTACATGCTTTAAAAAGCATTCTTGCAAACCTCAGACGTTACGCATTTGTTTCTCTATTGTCGGTAAGCGGTAGGCCTAGATCTTTTTAGTTTCAGTTTATTTATGAAAATGCTTCTGTGCTGGAATTGAAATACAAGATTTCTTTTATTATTCCTTCTAAGAAAAACTCTTCTCATCTGTAAATGTATCTTATGGGTTGCTGTGCAAGCTGTTATTGTGAATAGTATTTATTTATGTAAAATTGTTATTATCACAGTGAGATGGATAGGATCTTTTTACCCCACTGCCAACAACAAAACGACAAACCTACAGAGCATGTGCACGTAGCAAGTAAAGTGAAAGTAAATGAGAAGAAAGTGTTCATGTAAATGAAACTCATTCCCCAAGTTAACCAAACTGCAGAAAATATCTGAAGGACTACTTTGATATATAGGCTCAGTTTCAACATAACCAGTAATTTCACAAGTATAGGTTTCTGATGTCCAGTATTAGTTCAGTTTTTCAGTTGTTTGGGAAGTTCTTCTCACTATAACCTTATTTGACCTTGGACTCCACTTGCAGTCTACAGCTATGCTCTGAATAGCAACTTATTTCATACTCACAGTTTTAAAATTGCATTTCTCTTTCCCAGCATCATATTGAGGAAGTCATTGTAGCTGATAGTGTCTTTTGAGCTACTTCCAACCACCTCTGCCATCATTTTTTTCAGTTCCAGGTGAGTCTTGGCCAATCCAAGTTTCTCCAACATCCTCTTCAAACCCATTATGTCTATAAAATTACAAGTGCGCAAAAAGAAAAATGAAGTAAAAAACATTACTGCTTGCTTAATCTGAGAGGTTTATTTTGTTGTTGTTTTTGTCTGAGGCACTACTGAAAGTAGCACTTGCTTAATGTTGCTAAAAAAAATTACTTCAGGGCTGCACGGCTAGTGGCGTCCTACCTATTTCCCCTTTGTCGTTGAGATCAAACTCCATGTATTTCTCTGTAACATAAACAATAAGATTATTATTATTCCAAAATTTATGACTTTGCACCAATTGAACAATGAACTGAAGTGTTACTGGTACCCCCTTTGAGACTCACTTTTAAACATTTCAAGCTTTGAGGCCAGGTCTTCCTCTCCTTCATATTTAGGATCTGTGAGAAAAGCCTAATAATGACATAAATACACAATTTAGCATCGCAGGGTGTCAGTCGACGTCTTGGACAGTTCTGTGTTTAGCTCACCTCGTTGATACCATTTAGCTTTTCCTCCTGCTGAGACTTTAGAAGACCAAATGCTTTACCACCTGTGAAAAACCAATATTTTAGGAACAACAACAGCCTGAGAGAACTCTCACAAACAATCAATAAGAACTGGTAGTTTAATGGATGAATTAATAACATAAATGAATGATTAAATAAGTAAATTCAGTCTTGTATTGTTCAGGCTGGTTAAAGTGGCTTTAACAACCAAAGCTAACAGAAAGACAAACTAACCTTGAGCACAGTCCATTTCTGTCAAGAGAGCTGAGAAACTGTGAAACCAACACAAACACAGGCGGAAGGTTACGATGATGCTTCTATAAACTGAACGAGAAGAGGAAGTGAAGTGACAAAGTTTCAGTTAGACAGAAGAGGTTCCTCTGTTACATTTAAGGCTGCAGAAAACGAAGCCAACCTGATGACACAGATAATAATTTAGGAGAACTGTGCATGCAGGACACACGTGTGATCTATCAGCTTATTTAAAATTCTATGTTTTAGGAAGAAGACGTATGTGGCAATAAGATCTTTCTTTAGTGCTCTAGTCTGGAAACTTTTGCTCATGAGGCATTTTTGGATTACATCATATTTTGTTATTCACAGTTTTTTTTTCTGGGTGTGGGTTCCTTTTTATTCATTTAAATGAAAGAGTTATGCACATTTACACCTGGAAGTACCTCAAAGGTGAAATGTCTGTACCAGTGAACAGCTCCACTGGAACGGGTGGAAGTAAAATGGTTTAAGCAGTCACATAAGTCAGATCAATGTGTTTGGAGAGAACTTTAGTGCAGCTTTATCACTTTCTTTTCCTTACTTTAAACATGAGCCCAGAAAGCAACTTGGCCACAAAACTGGCCAAATGTAATGCCTAGTTCTTGCCACACTGTGGTATTGTTGATCACATAATCAGGTAAAGAACATCCAAAAGACTCATGGTAGTTTCCAGTTGAGACTTCTATGTAACTTCAAGGAAGTGAAAATAAAAAGGTCTAGAGGTGACTGATCTTTGTCTCTTCACTAGCTGCATTACACAGAACATGTTACATTTATATCTTCAGGGTTACCTTTCTTTAATTCTGTTGAATGTCGCATCAGGATTTGGAGGTAAGCAGTTCTGCAGATAATGTCTGGATCTGATTGGATAAAAATAAACGCTTTTTAACTATGCTTGCTACATTTGTAATTAAGTAACTAAAGGTTTATTCAGTGTACATCATCTTGGCTCCAAAAATTATTTAACAACAAATGCAATTTCATTATATGCCATGAATCTAAAAATATGCATACTGCTAATCTGATATTGCATATTTTGGTGTAAACTTTCTAACCAGCAAAAATGAGGTACTTGCTTCCTTGAATGCGATGCATGTATTAGTACATTTAGACTCATTATTTAACTTTTGGCTTAACAGATACTGAGCCCATCTTAGCTGTTCAAGAAGAAGATGTAGCTCTCACTTGTTTCAGTCAAAATGACACGGATCCAAACAGCTTCTACAGATACAGCGTGACAAAGTTTGCTACAGATCCTAATCAAGTGAAGGATATGTTTAAATGGCCCACACCGAGCAACGATGTGTATAAACGTGTAAAATGGGTAGCTGATGGAAATGGACAAAAATGCTTAACTCTGACAAAACTTCAAAAATCCGACGCAGGACTGTACACTTGTGAAATGTGGAAAGGATGGGACCGTGTTGCGGCCAAAAACATATCTTTGAGAATAAAAGGTAAAACTTTTTACTACTTTCTCTTTACTTTGCAAGCAAATATCTCACTGGTGAGTCACATGATTTGTTATGATCTTGCAGACTGCAAAGTCCTTGAACCTGTGAAGGCCACACCCAGCATGCCTGCCAAGTTAAACTGCCCAGTAAACATGACAAGTGGACAACAAGAACCTCAAAACATCTCCTGGGCAATCCAGAAAGGAGACATGCGTGAATCACTCGACTCCAGCAAAGCCAAAACTGATGGTACATCTCTGACTTTCCAGTCTGTGAACACCAGCGACAGTGGCTGGTATACATGCAGTTACACGCTTGGTAAAACTCAGCGCTGCTTTGACACCAATCTACAAGTACAAGGTCAGTGATTTTTTTCTTTGACATGTCAAAAGCAATGATCAAACATACACACAAGTAATATGTAAGATTCCTGTTTTTTCACACGAAGCTTTTGTGACCACAACGGTTCCGGTTATTCCAACAAAAACTCCGAGTCTGCCAGGTCTGTTTTCCTTTGCTGTCTTGCACATTCATTAAATCATATTTATGATTATATGTTCACTATATTGTTGCTTTAACTTTCGCCTTGTTCTCTTTAGCACCAAAAGCCAATGATATATCTCTGTCGCAAAGGAAGGAGGAGAGCAATGATGCTTTAATTGCAGTTGTGGTCTGTGTCATTTTGGGGATGATCATAATTGCTGCTGTGATTGGACTCGTTGTGTACCGCAGATGCAAAACCCAGAGAATCACACAGTTACACCAGAGGCGCTTTAACGGTTTGATCTGACTTTAAACTCTTTCATTCTTATCACACTGTCATGCAGTCACACTAACTTTACGTAGTGTTGAGTTGTTTAAATATTTCTGTTTTCTCGTTATTCAGGTAATTGTATGTCTACATATGAGATTGTTGCACCTTTGACGAGTGAGTGCAAACTCTCTTCTTACTGCGCTTTTTAGCCACTGTGATGCCTTTCTGTTCAACACTTGACTTGAACCTTTTTCTTTTTTCACAGATACTCCAGGCCAGCGAATCAACAGTCTGTATCAAATGCCAGACGAAAGCTTAGTTACCTGTAAGTTGTATGAGGTTTTGCCTCCTTTATGAAATTGTTCAAATCTTATCATGTCAACAAAAAACAACCCAACAACAACGAAAACCAAAGAAACCAAAACATTTTTCTCTCCTTTGTTGCAGTCCAATAATAAATATTTTCAAGTAAGGAAGAAGATTCTCCTTTGCAGTTATCTCATCTTTGCAGTGTGGGTTGGATTTTCAAAAGTAGATAAGTTTGCATGCTTATAATGTAACCAATCATGTTTTTGTAACTTTATTTCTTTAAAATCTTGCATGCATGTCTGTAGCAAGGCAAAGGAGGAGCTGATTTACTGTGCATTTCTGTTTCTTGAAATAGAAAAAAGTCTGTTTTCAAACAGGTTTTGTAAACCACATCTGTTGATGATTTTGAAGTTTGTGATAAAGACAAAGAATAGCATGTGGTTTCACTCTAGTTCACAGCTTGTAATAAATCATAAAAACTGGTTGTTGCAGTGGCTGCTTCTCTTTTTAAATGTAGTTGCTGTTGTTGTTCCTCATTACGATCATCCTGAACGACCTCGTACACATGAGTCTGAGGAGAAGAGCACCAACATTAGTGAAATAGGACATGTGAGCTTGACTCGGCATGATCCTGTTTTTTGATATCTTACCATTTCAGTACTGGGCTGATCATTAGCTGCAGACCAAGAAGGAAAACATTGTGGTCATTGTGGAAATATTCAATCTCCATCAAAGCCTTAGAGTAATTCATGTTGTAGCTGTTGTTTGGTTGTAATTTCTGAAGCACATTCAGTACCTGCATCCTTGTTGCGCTTCCTCTTGGTGTAAATGTAGAGCCCACCCGCCACTATCAGGATGACCAGAGGCAGGCCTACCCAGGCAGGCGTTTGCAGAGCTGGGGAAAGGAATAATTTTCCGATCAGTTTGGTCATGAATAGAAGGTGCATTCAGCAGACAAGGCAACAGTAAAGTAATTCATGCTTACGGTCAACGGCACGCCACTTTTTTGATGCCACCCGAGCGCCCTCTCTGTGCACAGAGCATGTTATATCTTCGTATGATCGCACTGATGACTCTGGGAAAATTAACTTCTTTATCAGAGTATTATTGATATTCATTAATTCACTCTGCCAACCTTTGTGGGCACTTCCTGACCAAGTTAATTCAAAGTCATTTTCACATTCTGTGGCACAGGTAAGTGCACAGGTCAAGGTGAGATTCTCTCCTCTGAGCCCTGCAGGCATTGCAGTTACTGTAAAAATGTAGAACATGAGAGATGAAACATCAGATATCGATAGCTATCTCTCCATCTCTCCATCTCTCTCTCTTTCTCTCTCATATTTGTATGTGTATATATATACACTTGCATCTACAAAGTTTTAATACTTACCATCAAGGGTATGCAGCCTGAATTTATTGAGCACATCTTTTTTATCAGTGGAGTGTGAACACTGGTAGTCTCCAGCATGCAGTGAGCTCAGTCTGCTAATGACCAGAGAGGAATCTTGATTAACATGTGATGCTTTTATTTGGCCATTATCAGGTGAGCTAGCATCTCTCAGTTGCTTTTCACGCAAAGTCCACTTCATATCAGGAGAGGAAGTGTTGCCACAATTCAATAGTACTGACTCACCCACTGTGGCAAACACTTCCTCTAGTCCATCTGGGGGAAAGGGAGAACTGGTCACACTTTGTACGTACTGAGCAACATCTTTCATTTTGTGTACAGGCTGTGTAGCACCTTCTACTGTTGTCGTATAACTGATGGTGGCTTTAACAAGGTCATTCTGAGTTAGATGACATCTCCATTTTCTGTGGTGGTCTGTCGATTTTGTATCAATGATCAGTTTAGAGAAGCAATTACGTGGATGTTCAATTACAAATCTGCTTCCATTTATTGGTGTATCATCCTCAGAGCTCCAGTTGATATGAAGCTCTTTGCGGTTGAAACAGGGGTCAGCTCCTTTATCTGTACTGAGGTAACAATGAAGCTCCATCTTTTTGTCATTTGCAGGAAGTGACCTTTCAGTAACTGGTGGATAAAAAAAAGTGAGCATTGTGATATTTTTGTTTACTATTTCTGTATGTAAAACAAAAAAAACAAAAAGAAGGCGTGAAGCAAAAATACTTACTGCAAAGAATTCGAAGTGAAACACTTGACTTGAGCATTCCACTCTTACACGTGTAAAGCCGTGCGTCATTGAGCACCAGCTGAGTAATCTGCAGAGAGCAGTCTTTGAGCAGGCGATACCTGTGGCTGCTTGGAGCTGTCGGCTTTTCTTTCTTTATAATCTCATCAGTTAAATTAAATTCTGCACTCATGTCCCAGCTGATAGAAGAACAGGTTTTGATAGAAGGGATACCACATGGCAAAGTAACATTATCTCCTTCTACAGCGACCATTAGCAAAGGGTTCCCTGAAGAAAATTACAGAAAAATGCATTTTTTTTAAATGAAAAAGATTTCTTAAAATCTATATATGCCATAAAATGAAAACTGTAACACTTGTGTACATGTGAGCAGTTCACAAAGGACTGAGTGAATATCTGAGATCACAATTATTTTGTGAGTTATTTTTATTATGGTTATTTTGCTATGATACAATATAAGGTAAAAAAAAAATCAGTAACCACTGACTAATTATTTTTCTGTGACACCAACAAGTTTTGTCTCATAACGGTGCCTCGTGGGTTAGAAAACAATCAGAAAGGATGAAATCAAGCCATGTCCAAGAGGGTTTTACAAGGTACCGCGTGTGAATATATTACATCATGTGTATATATATTTATAGGTGTTATATGTTTGTTTAATTACCAGTTGGATGATGTCCACTTGCTGCCTGTGTGAGATAAAAAAGACAGATTACCAACAGTGAGAGCGAGTCCATCTTGCCGTTTCCAGATTTTCTCTGTTATTGCAAAATGCTCTTATAGCAGAAGTTTTGCAAAACACTTTTCCAGGAAATGACACATGAAGATCATGTTTAACTGAGGAGAATGACTCATAAGAGAAATTTATATTTATGTAGTGATCGAGTCCGTCATGTTTATCCAAAATTGTCACAATCACTTTAAGTGTTGTGACTGTTGTGATTTACCTGTCAATTAAATTACTTTTAATAATAACGTCTACATTCCTTTTTTATCACCAGGATGCTATTAATTGTGTAACAACCCAAACAGCAGATACTGCTGTATCCAGTGCTGTGGAGACTGCATTTTTAAGGTTTGTCCACCAGGTGGTGCTGTCAGATTCAGTGAAACCTGCAAAAAAGAAGGCTCTTTCACATTGTGGTGTCCAACTCCGTAGATACATTAACAGCATTCATTTTTACGACTTTTTACTCCTCTCACTTTAGTTTTTCATTTTGCAAAAATATAATTACTTATATGATCATTGTTGTAATTTCCCTCCACTACAGGTGAACATTAATGAGCACCAACAGTACAGTTATTCTGTGCATTGCCAATGAAGAAATAAAGACTTTGGTTTGGACATTTTATTCAGTGATGGTGGAACAAATAACTTTGATAATAAAGTGTAAGAATGAATAAGAATAAGAAGAGAAAATATAAATATGTGAAACATAAATTTGCACATGCATGGCCAACGCAAACAACAAGTCAGCAATACACCCACTGCAGCTCAGGGATTAGTCACAGGTCTTGGACGTGCTACAACTTCATAGGACTTGATTTTAAGCACAACACTGGCAACTCCTCTCAGATCAGGCAGTGAGGTCTCGCTCTCAGGCAGGAGGAACTGAAAATCTCTCAGCAAGTAGGCACTGAACAGAAAAAGCTCCATTTTGGCCACAGACTCTCCCAGGCAGAGCCGAGCCCCCCCTCCAAAAGGGATCAGGTCACGGGTGGAGCCGCCTCCGCTTCCCCCTCCTTCATTCAGAAAGCGCTCTGAAAGAGAGAGTGTCAATACTTTATTTGAACTCTTCTGAGCCAAGTGAAATGAACACAAATCACACAGCGTTTGGGACAGTACCTGGTTTGAAGCTGTATGGGTCAGGCCAAACTTCAGGATCATGATGTGCTCCAAAAAGATTAGGAATGATGACTGTGTTCTTAGGGATGAAATAACCTGCAATGCTAAACATGAGGAGGAGTCAAATATTTGTCATGAGGCCAACTAAAAACAGTGTTAATAAGCAACTTAACAACATTAGAAAATGTGTACGTCAGACATTTGTCTGTGTATGAATGTTCATTTAAATAGAAATATGCTGTTTTTCCAGGTTTCATGTGTGTGTGTAGTTTATATTCTTACGTTTTCTTATCTTTGCAAATTTTCTTTCTGTACAAAAACAAAAAATAAGCAACTGATTATTTGTCGGTTGTTTGCTTTTTTTTGCTTTTTTTTTAAACTTCTCCGTAAGAACTCTCTGTTATTATTTTTCTCTCCCAACTTTAACTGCAAGTGCAATGATTAATTGTATTTATTGGGCCAGTTTTGTGGCTTATGCAACAAAACTGGCAGTTATGGATCGCAGAACAACCAAAAGACTGGTTATAGTTTCAAGTCGAGACTTCTGCGTAACGTCAAGGAAATGAAAATAAGTGGAAGCAAAAATAAAAAGGCCTGTGTGTGACTGATCTTTGTCTCTTCACTAGCTGTTCCATTTTATGCAAAACCCGGAGAATCACACAGTTACACTAGAGGCACCTTTTTGGATTGATCTGACTTTCAACACTTTCATTCTTATGAAAGAGTTGAAAGTCTCATGTCTTTTGACCAAGACATGTCCTTCAATGCACATATTAAACAAATGTGTACGACTGCGTTCTTCCATTTGCGCAACATCTCTAAAGTTAGAAATATCCTGTCTCAGAGTGACGCTGAAAAACTAGTTCATGCATTTATTACTTCCAGGCTGGACTACTGCAATTCATTATTATCAGGATGTCCAAAAAACTCACTGAAAAGCCTTCAGCTAATCCAAAATGCTGCAGCAAGAGTACTGACAGGGACTAGAAAGAGAGAGCATATTTCTCCTGTTTTGGCTTCCCTTCATTGGCTTCCTGTTAAATTCAGAATTGAATTCAAAATCCTGCTCCTCACATACAAGGTCTTAAATAATCAGGCCCCATCTTATCTTAATGACCTTGTAGTACCATATCACCCTATTAGAGCACTTCGCTCTCGCTCTGCAGGCCTACTTGTTGTTCCTAGAGTATTTAAAAGTAGAATGGGAGGGAGAGCCTTCAGTTTTCAGGCCCCTCTTCTGTGGAACCATCTTCCAGTTTGGATTCGGGAGACAGACACTATCTCTACTTTTAAGATTAGGCTTAAAACTTTCCTTTTTGCCAAAGCATATAGTTAGGGCTGGATCAGGTGACCCTGAATCCTCCCTTAGTTATGCTGCAATAGACGTAGGCTGCCGGGGGATTCCCATGATGCATTGAGTTTTTCCTTTCCAGTCACCTTTCTCACTCACTGGTCGTGTCCAAATTCATGGGCTGCATCCTCCTGAGGCTGCATTTGTAAACCGATTACATCACAGCGACGCGACGAAGGCTGTCCAAATTCGTAGACTCCTCCAAATGCAGCCGACAAATGCGTCCTCCTTTTCCCCAAATTTGAAGGATGGGTCGGGTGTGTCCTTCGTGGCCCACCTTATCCCAGAATTCATAGCGCGGCCCAGCCAAACTCCAGTTTCCAACAATGCTCCTAAGTTTTACCAATGCTCCGCTACTAAGTTTTAAAATTACTCATACTAATCTTTCTGGGTCACAAAATAAAGTTTTAACATATTTTCAGGCGAGAAAGTAGCTGTGTAAACATCAAATATCTGCTCGGTTTATCAAGATGTCACATATTTGCAAAAGTGCTTCGACGTTTTCGGAGACGTCTGCTACCCACCAGCTCGATAGCTAGCCGAGAGCTCGAGGGTCACTGGAGCCGCCGAGAACGGCACAACTCCCGGCACATCACTTTCAGATCACCGCAGTCTACTCAGGTTAAACGTGATATATAAGTCACTTAGGCAACCTAAAAATGTTATTGTTGGGCTTTTTTCACTGTTTGATTTGTTCCTGAGTAAATTGGTTTGGCTGAGATTAAAGTCCTAGTTTTCACACAGCTGAATAAACGTCAAACAGAAAACTGATTAAACAGAAGTGTGAGACGGTTGAGAATTTACGCCAGTGTCCTGTTATATTTTAGATAGGAAGGAGCAGACGGCTGAGTTCATTAAACTCCACCGAGACAGCGGTGACGTAAATCAGAAGGCTAGACCGTCCAATTTCCACAGCCGTTTACTTCCGGCCTACCCGACCTTCTGAGGACCCGGCCCACGTAGACCGCGAAGGCCGGGTCCTCAGGAGGATGCAGCCCATGAATTTGGACACGACCACTATGTGTTAGCAGACCTCTCTGCATTGAATCATATCTGTTATTAATCTCTGTCTCTCTTCCAGAGCATGTCTTATCCTGTCTTCCTTCTCTCACCCCAATTGGTCCCAGCAGATGTCCCCCCCTCCCTGAGCCTGGTTCTGCTGGAGGTTTCTTCCTGTTAAAAGGGAGTTTTTCCTTCCCACTGTCGCCAAAGTGCTTGCTCATAGGGGGTCATATGATTGTTGGGTTTTTCTCTGTATCTATTATTGTAGGATCTACTGTACAATATAAAGCACCTTGAGGTGACTGTTGTTGTGTTTTGGCGCTATATAAATAAAATTGAATTGAAATTATCACACTATCATAATGTAGTGTTGAGTTGTTTAAATGGTTCGGTGTTTTCTTGTTATTCAGGTAATTGTATGTCTACATATGAAATTGTTGCACCTTTGGGGAGTGAGTGCCAACTCTCTTCTTACTGCGCTTTTTAGCCTCTTTGATGCCTTTCTGTTCAACACTTGACTTGAACCTTTTTCTTTTCTCACAGATAATCCAAGCCAGCTTGTCAGCAGTCTCTACCCAATGCCAGATGTAATCTTGGTTACTTGTTAGCGGTATCATGCCTTGTTTTCTCAATTGATTATGATTTTCAAATCTTAGCCTGTCGCAAAAAATAATTTCTCTCTTTTACTGCAGTCCAATATTAGCCACTTTCAAGCTAAAGAAGATTTTCCTCAGCAGTTATCTCATCTTTTTTTGTTTAGTTTGACTGAGTGTGTAAAATAAAATTTAAAAATGAATAATTTAAAAACCATATTATTGAAATAAAATGTGTTTTTCAAAATTGCTTACAATGTAATCATACATTTTTTAAATTTACTTTAAAACATCTTGCATGCATGTCTGGCAAAGGAGGAGCTGATTTACTGTGCATTTCTGTTTCTTGAAATAGAAAAAAGTCTGTTTTCAAACAGGTTTTGTAAACCACATCTGTTGATGATTTTGAAGTTTGTGATAAAGACAAAGAATAGCATGTGGTTTCACTCTAGTTCACAGCTTGTAATAAATCATAAAAACTGGTTGTTGCAGTGGCTGCTTCTCTTTTTAAATGTTGTTGTTGTTGTTGTTCCTCATTACGATCATCCTGAACAACCTCGTACACATGAGTCTGAGGAGAAGAGCACCAACATTAGTGAAATAGGACATGTGAGCTTGACTCGGCATGATCCTGTTTTTTGATATCTTTCAAAAATATCTTTCAGTACTGGGCTGATCATTAGCTGCAGACCAAGAAGGAAAACATTGTCGTAATTGTGGAAGTATTCAACCTTCAGATCCAGAATAAATTGGATTTATTCCCCAGATCCTTGTTGCGCTTCCTCTTGGTGTAAATGTAAAATGGCCTGTATTTATATAGCGCTTTTACTAGTCCCTAAGGACCCCAAAGCGCTTTATATATCCAGTCATCCATCCACGCACACATTCACACACTGGTGATGGCAAGCTACATTGTAGCCACAGCCACCCTGGGGCACCCTGGGGCACTGACAGAGGCGAGGTTGCCGGACACTGGCGCCACCGGGCCCTCTGACCACCACCAGTAGGCAACGGGTGAAGTGTCTTGCACAAGGACACAACGACCGAGACTGTCCGAGCCGGGGCTCGAACCGGCAACCTTCCGATTACAAGGCGAACTCCCAACTCTTGAGCCACGATCGCCCCATAGAACGGGGTAGTAAATGTACTACTGGGTAGATTACTCACTATAGCTGATTAACTGACAAGCTGAATGTTTTAGTCGGACCAACACATATATATATATATTTAATTATCTGATATTTTTTGCATAGTTAATAAAGCTGCTTGTGACTGCACTCTAATGGGACATTTCTGACTGCAGTGTTTGTTTTAATTTCGCAAGAGTGGTCACCTATTGTCAGGGTTATCGCCACTGAAGAAATAAAGACTTTGGTTTGGACATTTTATTCAGTGATGGTGGAACAAATAACTTTGATAATAAAGTGTAAGAATAAATAAGAATAAGAAGAGAAAATATAAATATGTGAAACATAAATTTGCACATGCATGGCCAACACAAACAACAAGTCAGCAATACACCCACTGCAGCTCAGGGATTAGTCACAGGTCTTGGACGTGCTACAACATCATAGGACTTGATCTTAAGCACAACACTGGCAACTCCTCTCAGATCAGGCAGTGAGGTCTCGCTCTCAGGCAGGAGGAACTGAAAATCTCTCAGCAAGTAGGCACTGAACAGAAAAAGCTCCATTTTGGCCACAGACTCTCCCAGGCAGAGCCGAGCCCCCCCTCCAAAAGGGATCAGGTCACGGGTGGAGCCGCCTCCGCTTCCTCCTCCTTCATTCAGAAAGCGCTCTGAAAGAGAGAGTGTCAATACTTTATTTGAACTCTTCTGAGCCAAGTGAAATGAACACAAATCACACAGCGTTTGGGACAGTACCTGGTTTGAAGCTGTATGGGTCAGGCCAAACTTCAGGATCATGATGTGCTCCAAAAAGATTAGGAATGATGACTGTGTTCTTAGGGATGAAATAACCTGCAATGCTAAACATGAGGAGGAGCCATGTATTTGTCTTAATGCCAAGTATCAAGCAACACACATACATAACAGGGCAACAGCAGAAAATGTGTATGTGTGTATGCCTGTTTGTTTGTTGTTGTTGTTTTTTCAGGTTTTGGTTAATTTAAATAATGTCTACACACATCTTCTTTCTGCACAATTAC